CCTCCTCTTCCTCCTCCTCCCCCTCCCCCTCTCCCTCCCCCTCCCTTTCCTCCTCCTCCTCCTCCTCCTCCTCCTCCTCCTCCTCCTCCTGGAGGGCCGAGGGCAGGACGAGCCGACGAGCGCGTCCCGAGCCGCGCTCTGGGGTCTGGGGCTGCGGCGGCGGCGGAGCTGTCGGGGGAGAGCTGCGCCGTGGCTGGCCGCGCCGCGGCTCTGCCTCCGCCCTCGCCCCCTGGCGTGGCTCGGGGCGCGCGCTCGGCGGCTCGTCGTGAGCAGCAGTGGAGGTCAGGCGATCGCAGACATTCGGAAGCTGGGCGAGGGCTGCTAAAATCGTGGCTGCTAAAACGGCCCTCCCGGAAGGAAAACACAACTTCCCGGAATGAGGCGCGGCACGCGAAACAGTCAACGGGCTTCTTCCCGGCAGGACGAAGACAACTTCCCGGAGGTCGATTTTAGCAGCCACGGATTTAGCATCCCTTGCCCGGCTTCCGAAACATGGATCGCACGCACTCGAAGGGGCTCCGACAGTCGCCAGGGGGGAAGCGGGTCCTGAAGGAGACGGGTCCTGAGGTTTGTCACTGCCTTCGGGGCCTCCACTGGCCCCGGGACCGGCTAGCGACGGGTCCCTTTTCCATGGGAAATCGCAGATTTCCGCCGCCGAGCGGGGCGGTACCGGCCGCATTTTGGAGAGGGCACTTCCCCCGATCCATGTTTGCGCGCGCCCCGAGAAAGGACCCCCAATCCTTTGGGAGGCGCCCTAAGTGAGGAGGCTAACAACATTAGGGATAGGGGGTCTGCTCTGGAGCTGTACCAAGCCAGACCATCCAGAATGAGAAGCCTTGATGCAAAGACGGGGGGGACCTCAGTGAGGCCATGTCTTCACTATGCTATTAGGGTTAGGGGTTCTTTTACCCTCGATGACGTCATGCCCTCGGCCTCCCAGAGGTGGGGCTTGAGCAGGTAGGGCCACGGAGGACCGCGCCGCGCCGCCGATGCACCTCGGCGGTGCGGCGCGACGTGGAGCCAAGTCTTCTCCGCGCCGACTGTGCGGATGCGTCGCCGACTTCGCGGATGCATCGCCGATGTATCGGCGCTGCGCCATCCTTCGAGCCGGATCGATTTGCGAGGTTCCCGGGGCCCGAAAATTGGGTGAGAGCGCCCGGTGTGAAGGAGTTGCAGCGCCAGGTGTGTGCAACCATCTAATGGCCTTCGGTCCCTCCCGCCGTGTCGCGGATACATCGCCGACGTCGCCGATGTATCGGCGATGCATCGCCGATGTTTCGGCGATGTGGCGCGAGCCTCCGTCCTTGTCGACTCGGGCCCCATCTGGAAGACCTCGAAGGGCACGCGGGTCGGCTCGTGGTGCGTCCTGGGAGGATCAGACGAGGGGTTAGAGGGAAAAAACACCAGCGCTCCGCGCGCCAGGGACCTGCTCCGTGCAACCAGTTTCTGGCCCCGCCGCCAGGTGCTTTTTCCCGCTGCAGTGGGCGCCTTCTGGCGCCGGGAGGCGCCAGAGAAGCGGTCTCTGCATGTGCCAACTCGCCAGCCCCCCCTTCTTTTGCTACCTTTATGCCTGAGGATCTCGGGGACTCCTCCAGGAGTGAAGGAGGAGGAGCAGGAGGAGGAGGGGGAGCAGGAGGAGGAGGAAGACGAGGGAGAGGAGGAAGAGGAGGAGGAGGAGGAGGAGGAGGAGGAGTTGGATGGCGGGGTGGAGGAGGAGGGAGGAGGAGGAGGAGGAGGAGGAGGAGGAACGGATATCTGCGCGCCCTGGAGGGCGGGAGAGTACACCCACATCCAGGGCAGGACTCCTCCTGCCAGGGATGTGGATAGTCCTCCCAGTGGTGCAGCCCCCCCACTTCTCCTCCTCCTCCTCCCTCTCCTCCTTTTCCCTCTCCCCTCCTCCTCCTCCTCATCTTCCTCATCATCATCATTCCTCCTCATTTCTCCAGTTCCTCCTCCTCATCATCATCATCATTCACATCATCATCATCATCATCTCATCATCATCATCCTCCTCCTCCTCCTCCTCTCCTCCTCCTCTCTCATTCCTCCTCCTCCCCTCTTCGTTCGGCCCCGGAGGTCGACTTCTCCCTCCTCACGGGCCAGGGGCCCGCGTACGCCAGCGTCTTCGTCCAGGACCGCGGCGGCCCAGCCCTCGCCCGAGGCTCGCGGTCGCCTCCGTCGTCGCCTTCGCTGTCGCCGTCGCCGTCGCCGTCGCCGCCGCCGCCGCCGCTGCCGCCGTTCGTAGTCGTCGTCGTCGTCGTCGTCGTCGTCGTCGTCGTCGTCGTCGTCGTCGTCGTCGTCGTCGTCGTCGTCGTCGTCGTCGTCGTCGTCGTCGTGTGGCGAGGGCGCCTTCCGTTGGACCTCGGGAGGACGAAAGACATAAAAGTCCTCCCTCCCGTCGCCGTCGTCACCGCCGCCGCCGCCGCCGTCGTCGTCGTCGTCGTCGTCGTCGTCGTTGTCGTCGTCGTTGTCGTCGTCGTTGTCGTCCCGAGGCCCACACCGCGGCTCTTCTGGCTCGCTGAGGCATTTTCGTGTCCTAGTATCCAATAGAAGGTTCTTGGCAGCTTCCAAAAGAAGCGGTCCTGTTACTGCACTGCGCCGGAAAAAGTATCACAGTTGTTGGTCGTTGATTTGTGTGTGTGCGTGCGTGCGTGTGTGTGTGTGTATGTGTGTGTATGTGCTCGTCGCCTTCGGTGCTTCGTCGCTTTGGGCCTCTGGGGCCAGTTTTCGGCCCCGGGACCGTCAGAAACGAACCCGCGATAACAAAAACAGTTCCAGGGAAGTTCCCTGGACTGTTCGTCGTCACGACCTAACCTTCAGAAGTTGGACAGGCGTACGAGGAGGAGGAGGAGGAGGAGGAGGAGCACATCCGCCAACGTGCCTTCCTGCCACGTGGAGGCGTGGAAGAAAAGTGCAAGACTTGCTGTTTGGTATGATTGCTGACATCTTCGAAGGGACACCCGCCCCCTCCTCTCGGTGCATCCATTCTCGTGCCTCGCCCCCCACCCCACCCCCCCTCCTGAGACTCTGTCCCGACGCTTCATGGCGCTCTCCAAGGCCTTACAGTAAGGATGCCCACGAGGGCTTCCAAGACGGCCAAGGCAAGCTATCAAGCCGCAAAGATGGTCCAAGATGCCCCCATGACGGCCCGCGATGACCCAAGATGGCCCCAATATTGAGGCCTTCAGTACGGTCTAAGAGGGCTCCGAGAGAACCTCCAGGAGGGCCCCAAGGTGTGCTCAAGATGGTTTTTCGCACTCTCACCTTTCCAAGTTTAGGTCAGCTCCAGACGGCCCAAGAGCTCTTCAAGATGGCCCACGACGCCACCAAGACGGCTTCCATATTGCCCAAGAGGGCTCTACCCAGGGCGGCACAAGGGAGCCTCAAGATGGCGCATAAACCCACGCGGGCCCCAGGACGGCACAGAATCCCCAAAATGGCTTCAGGACGGATCCCGAAAGCGCCAGACGGCCAACAAGGCCCACCCGAGACGGCCTTACTCTGAGCCACTAGCCCTTGATCGTTCTCAGAATGATCTCCCATGAGTTGCCTCCAATATGATGGGACGCGCTCCGTGTCCTGGCTGCGCGGCCTCTTTCGCACTGCCTCGGGCGCTTCCCCCCTGCCCTTTTCCCTGTGTTGACCTGCCTCCCCAGACTTCTGCCCTCGTGCTTTTTTTCACCGTCGACTCGCAGAGACCTGAGGAGAGGGAGGAGGAGGAGGAGGAGGAGGAGGAGGAGGAGGAGGAGGAGGAGGAGGGGGAGGAGGAGGAGGATCGACCCATCCCGCGGGGCCGGTTCTTGATCCCGAGTCGTTTTGTGGACGGTCCCAGGGCCCAGCGAGGGCCCCCCGCGGAGGCCGAACATGTGCAGAAACCTGCCGTCGTGACTGTTTCGCAACGAGGGGATGCCAGGGTCCTTAGAGGCGGCAGGCCAGTCGAGCGCTCGTTTCCCCTCTCTCTCTCTCTCTCTCCGCGGGGCCGCCTGCCGCAGGACGAGGACGCGCAGGACGAGGAGATGGAGGTCCGACGCATGCACGAGCTGGTCGACCAGACGACGCAGGTGACGCTCCCCCTTCCTCGGATCTCGGCGGCTCTCCAGCTTCAGGATCCTCTGCAGCAGATGCGCCTCGCCGAGGGCATTCCGGCGGTGCCCGGACTGTCTCGAACGGCAGCCGGGTGCACGAGTGATGGGCTGAGAACCACCGGGGACGGACGGGGATAGCCTCAGGGGGCGATACGGGATTTCGGATGCACCTCCTGGGAGGTCAAATCCAGACTTTGCTCTGGTCCGAGTCCGGCTTGATGCGCTCAATCCGGCTTAATGCCGCTTAATCCAGCTTATTCCCGCCTGATCCGGCTGAATCCCGCTAAATCCAAGGCCCACCCCGGCGTACCAGCCCCCCAAAGGGCTTGGCTTAATCCTCCTCAATCCTTCCGACGAAGACCTCCCAGTAGTGGCCTCCTAACCGCATGCGTCGACCCCCCGCAGAGCAGAAGTCGCCTTCCCCGCGCTCCTCGGATCTCTTCGGTCGCCCGAGAGCAGCAGCGCCGTGCTCTCGCCGCGCAGCGCCGCACAGGGGGATTTTGGCCAAAGTGTTCCGCTCCTCGGAGGGAGGAGAAGCGACACCAACACCAACAGGGGGCCACCTCCAGCGAGGAGGTCCACGAGGCCTCCCCGAGCTGGAGGCTGGGGATGTCTCGAGCGAGAGGGGGGGACCACACCACCAGGGAGACCCCCCTTGCCTCCTCGCATCTCCTCGCCCTGTTGGTGTTGGTGTCGCCTTTCCTTGTCCCTAGCTCCTGCCGGTGCGGAGCTGCGTGTTTCTCCTCTCCCCGTCGCCACGTCCTGGGAGGCGGGGCCGCGCGCGAGCACCTTCTCTGTCCGCGAGGTGCCCTGAGAGCCGACGGACGCTCCAACCAAAAAAATTGGAGCGGGCGGGTTTTGGCCCGTTGTCGGCCTCGGGGGGCCCTCGCCGGGCTTCGGGAGCGTCAGAAGCAACGACCCAGGACGAGGAACAGGCCCCTGGGAAGGGTCCGGACCTCCGAGGCCCACGCCCCCAAAAGATTGGTCGGGGGTGGACAGAACCCCCAACAGTGACACGTCGATTAGTGAATTGTCCGTTTTCGGTTCTCGAGAGGGCGGCGTGGCCGTTATTTTCCAGGCTTGCGCCCGCCAGGTTTGGGCCTCAGGTCGTTTTCACTAAACCACGTTTTGCTAAAGGGGGGTCTGTCCATCCCCGAATTGGAGCAGCTGGATGTCTGGGTGTGAGCGCGTTCTGCTACCAGTGACACGCCGTGCCACCGTCGATTCCCACGGTCAACCCGCGTGGTCTGCATCCTGCCCATTCGGCCCATGCGCTTTGGCTGGCCGCGCCCAGGTCGCAAAGTGTCGACATGGCCTTTCGAGACCCTTGCGTCCTTATCGTGCGTCCTGATTGCACGGGTTGACTGTATGGGAGGGAGGGTGGGAATTGTCTGGGCCCGCTGACTCGCCAGACCTTGCCAGCTTGACAGCTACCGTACTTTCTCCCCATCCCCTTCTATCCCTCCTCCTGCTCTTTCTATTTTCGGGTTGGGGACCTTCCTTGGGTCCACCTGACGGACATGTTCGACTCGAGTTCGACTCTAGGTCGACTTTAGGTCGACGCAACTCCCTCTCTAGTTCGACTGAAGTGCGACTCAATTTCGATTCGAGTTCGACTCAGGTCGATGGACGTCCGACGCAGCATCGACGCATGAGTGGACTGGTTCCGGGAAGGTGCGGTAGGTTCGCGTAGTGCCGAATGGCGGCGACCGCGACGTTGGCCTTCAACGCTGAACGCCGCCGGCGACTCAGAATCGTTCAAGATTGAACGATCCCGGCGCTGTCAGAAACCAACGCCGATGTCGGCATGACACGAACCTGCCAGATTCCTCCTCCTCCTTCTCCTCCTCCTCCTCCTCCTTTTCCTCCTGCTCCTCCTCTTCCTCCTCCTCCCTCCTCCTCCATCTGATTATCTTCCCTCGCCTGCTGCCCTTGATTCTCCCCCCCCCCCGGTCTGCCTCCCCCTCTCCCGCCCCCTCCTCCCCAGAGGTTCCCCGGAGGCGACCCGAGGCCTCGTCTGCAGTGGAGGGCCCACAGGGGGCCGAGAAGGGGCCGAATTGCCCCAGCTCGTCCGGTCTTTCCAGAACCAGGAACCTCGAACCTCGATCCCCCTTTCCCCGAAAAAGAATAAGCGGCATGAACAGAACTTTTTTGGCGCTCTGCGCGGATTTCTTAGATCCGCGCTGGGCCCCCCCAGCGGCGCCTCCGACGCCGCCCCTGGCTCGCTCTGCGCGCCAGGGAGGGGTGTCCAGCGCAGAGACAAGAGATCTGCGCGGAGCGCCAAAAGTTTCTGTTGCTGGCGTTTTGTTCTTCTTCTACTCTCTTCCCACATCCTTGCCCTCCCCGACGGGCGCGACCGGGCAGATGGCATGGGCCGTGATGGATGTGTGGACGTCGTGCCCGCCCATCCGTTATCGCAGCGGCCACGCCGCGCAACATTTCTGCTCTGCCCCCTGCTCCCTGACCTGCCTGTTCTGTCCTGCCTGCCCCGTTCGGAGTAGCGGCACCTTGCCCGCGGCCAATTCAAATTACATCCTATCTGGTTCCCGCTCCCCCCGGGGATCTTCGATCGTCGATTCTCGATCCACGATCCTCGAGCCTCGAGCCTCGGGCCCTCCATCCTTGTTCCCCGATCCTGCGATCCGTGATCCTCGGACCTTCGATCCTCGATGCTCGATCCTGGGTCCTCGAACCCTCGATCTCTGAGGCTTCGATCCTCGGAGCCTCGATTCTGGATGCCCGGACCTTTTGACCCCCGATCCTGACGACCGTCCGTCCTCGATCCTGGAATCCTCGGACCTCCGAGCCCCGATCCTCGGGCCCTCTGTCCTGGCTCCTCCTCCTCCTCCTCCTCCTCCTCCTCCTCCTCCTCCTCCTCCTCCTCCTCCTGGGTCCCTCCCTCGGCCCTCGACCCCGGACCCTCGCGATGGTCCTCGGGCCCTCGACCCTCGGACCCTCGACGAGAGCCCTCGATCCTCCCCGCCCCGCTGCTCGCCGCCCTGGCGCGGGCGAGGCCCCCGCCTCGCCACGGGGAGCCCCGAGCCGCCCCCCCTTGAACGAAGGATTGCAAAAAAACGAAGGATTGCAAAAACGAAGGATTGCAAAAAAACCCTTGGTTTTTTTGCAATCCTTGGTTTTTTTGCAATCCTTCCCCCAACCCGACCCCTCTCGGCCGCGCGCAGCGAGGAGCGGTCGAGGGTCGACGCTCCCGGGTTTCGAGGGCTCGAGCATCCCCAGGGTCGAGGATCCGGTGGGGCCTGTCCCTCCCCCATCCAGAGGAGGAACAGTCAAAAGAAGCAGTCAGAACATGGTATGGGGGGGACGATTTCTCGGCCACTGTTTGACGAGTTGTTTTCGTTGTTCCTCCAGAGTGCGCCTGCAGGGGGACGTGCCCGACCTCATTCAGGGATCCTGAAGGGCTGCGGATCGGGCCGCTCCCGCTGCTGGGTGCACATAATGGGTGGGCCCCTTCGCAGCAGCGGCCTTGGGTGCGCGGCTCTCCAGTGGGCGCTGAAGGGCCAGGCGCTGACCGGCATCGTCGACGTGGGCGACGCATCTGCGACGCTGGCGTGGAGAAAATGGGGCTCCGCATTGAGCCGCATCGCCGATGTATCGGCGATGCGGCGCCATCCTCCGACCCCATCTACTCCGACTCCATCTAGGAGGCCTCTACAAATGCTAGTCTATTTTAGGCGCCTTCCTATTTCAAGAGTCTAGCGGCTGTCCCGCGTCTCTCCTCTCCAGGGAAGGCGGAAGCCCAAGCTACTCTCGACGCCTTCCAACGCGTCTATCCGCTTTTTCCGACCGACGTGTACGTACTTCGAGGGTGGACATAACCCCCATCCTGACACGTCGATTAATCAATTGTCCGTTTTCGGTTCTCGAGAGGGCGCCGCGGCCGTCATTTTCCAAGCTTGCGCCCGCCAGGTTTGGGCCCGAGGTCGTTTTCACTAACCACGTTTTACGAAAGGGGGTTTTGTCCATCCCCGAGTACTCTGTGAGCGTACGTGGTGTGCGCAGTCACGACGCTGAAGTCAGGACCGCTTTCGGCCCTGGAGGGGCTTCCTGCTTTCGGGCCGCTCCCTGGATCTGTCGGGGGTGGACAGACCTTCTGCCCCGACGCGTCGATTAAGGAATTGGCCGTTTTCGGTTCGCGAGAGGGCGTCGCGGCCGTCATTTTTGCGGGTCCAGGTCCGCCGGTTTCGGTCCCAGGCCGTTTTCATTTAGGGAAGGTTTACTAAAGGGAGGTTTGTCCTCCGCCGAATCTGGGTACTCTCGACGCCTTCCCACCTCAGGCTTCTGCACCACTCCTTCCGACTGGCGCGTGCGTACTCTTTGCGTGCACGTGGTGTGCGCAGTCGGGACCGCTGTCGGCTTTCGGAGGGGCTCCCGCTTTCGGGCCACTCCCTGGATCTATGGTGATGGGCCTGTCTTCCACCTCCACCAGCAGTTGGAGGGGGGACGGAGGTGGAGGACGAGGAGGAGGAGGACGAAGAGGAGGAGGAGGAGGAGGAGGAGCAGGAGGCGGCGGAGGAGGAGGACGAAGAGGAGGAGGAGGAGGAGGAGGAGGAGGAGGAGGAGGAGGAGGAGGAGGAGGAGGAGGAGGAGGTGGAGGACGAAGAGTCGGAGGAGGAGCAGGAGGTGGGTGACGAGGAGGAGGAGGAGGAGGACGAAGAGGAGGAGGAGGACCTTCCCCTCCAACTTGCGGTGGTGGCGGTGGAAGACAGGCCCATCATGCGGGTCTGTGGCCGTGCTCCCGGCCGAGAGGCTCGCCGCGGCCAGGGGAGCCCCAGCCGTGCTTCGTCGGGCGTCCGTCTTCACGGCGCTCCTCGTTATCGGGGGACTTTGGCATCGCTCGGACGTGTGCACGTGCTTTCTCGGCGAGGACCTGCGAGGAGCGTCCTCGACCATCTGGCGACAAAAGCCACGCACGAAACCGAAAAAAGCACAGGGAATGGACGTCCGAGCGATGGCCAGAGGAGGGCCGGTGGAGGCGGCCCCCCTCCTGGGCTGAAGTCGGGCCTGCCCCTCTGCAGGAGGAGTGGTCAAAGATAGTCTTCAGAGTCGTCTGGCGACGAATCTCTGAGGAGTGTTGATTTTTTTAGAGTGGTTTTCGAGTCTGTTTTATTGCGAAGGCCTTACGGCCGGTGCCGCCGACCCTGAAGACGACGAAGATGAAAACGAGGGGGTGGTGGTAGGAGGCGGAGGAGGAGAATGAGGAGTGGGGGGGAAGAGGAAGGGTGGAGGATATGGATGAGGGAGGAGGAGGGGAGAGGAAAGATGAGGAGGATCAGTTATTGTTTCTCCAAAATCCGTTTGCAGGAGGACATGCCCGTCCTAACCCGTGGCCCACATCCTCTCAGAGTCGCTCCCCCGATCGTTTCGGGGCCTCGTCTTGACATATGTTCTTCAGCGTGGGTCCTGGTCCGTGGCGACGAGGCGTCTCCGCCAAGAGGCCCACAAAAGGACGAGCAACGCCAGGGAGGGCCGCCGTTGTTGCGCTTGTCCTTCCTCCGATCCTACTTGTAAATCGGTGATGTCCCTCTATAAGAAGAAATTTCAAACATAGGCAAACAAATAGTCTGGGACAGGTTTTTCCCGTATGTTTTGACCATTTCTGATTATGTTTGACTATTGCTTATTTTCCCTCCATACCCCTGTAGGAGGACATGCCCGACCTAATCCTACTTGGACCATCGTGGGGGGTGCTCAATGGATCGGGGTAATATCGACCACGCGCCGAGGGGGGTGGGGGAAGGGGGGGGGCTTTCAGAAGCAACCCTGCTTCTCAGAAGGCGGGGGCTTTATCTATAGATGCAAGGCCGGCGCCTTCTAAGAAGCAGCCTCCTTCTAAGAAGCCTTCCCCCCCTCTTTCCCCTTGTGCGCGCCGCCAGTAGTAGTTACAAGCGTGTGCT